TCCACAGTCTTACCCTGATCTATGGTGCTCGCTCAACGTTCTCATGCCATCATTAAGCAACGCAAGGAGGCTGGACGTTACCGTCTTGCAATATTTTGCTTGCTTCAGAGATCCATTTGAGCTATGCCGATTGGTGCTTTTCTGCACCTTCAGAGCCACTCATACCGGATTGGTCAGTGGATAGAGGCCAGACAAACTCAGCCTCCTTGTCCTCCAGGTTGGAGGTTGGAATGAGGGTGGTTCCTTATTCCTTAAAACGCACTTTTTGTAATCCGACGCTAAACCCGCAGCTTTGCGGTCAGGTTTTTGAACCAAAGGTTTTGGTTGAGAATCCTTATCTGTCCTTCATACATCTTAGCATGCACGCTCCATTGTATACGACAGTAATCTCGTGCGTGGCTTTATCGCTCTCTCTCCATCCCGTATAAAGTGTGACTCTATTTCGCGTCTCATACCGTGTACTCTTCTTGTGCGGCTCTCTGTGTCGTTAGCTCTGCTTGTGTGGTTATAGGTGTCACCAGTGCCCCCTGCCATTCCTCCTGTGTCACCATCGTATAGTACACGGCGTCTGGTGTGGTACAAAAGGATGGTAGGTGGGATGAGCGATAAAAGGTAGAAGTAAAAAAGAACTATTGTGGAAAAGGGTAAATGGTGATGGTATGAATACAGCCGGAACGCGGTGTTTGGTGTGTGCGTCAGTTAGCGCGTGTGGCGCGACATACTTCCAGGACTGCTCCAATATTGCTCATACCGTACAGCGTCGGGAGGGAAAAAAAAAAGGGGATAGAAACACACCATATGGTGGATAGAAGTGAAATATAACAGAAGTGCTGAGCATATATGAAAGGATGTGGATGAGAGAAGAATGATATGTGTACAGGGAAGGAAATGATACACATAGAAATCGATCACATGGTAACGAAACAAAGTCACACAAATGTGAAAGTCATAATATTCAGGTGGGATGTGGAGACAGACAATATTGCACACACATAATGATGTCTGCACACGAGTCAGACAAGAGCAGACATGACATATTACATGTGTTGATATAGATGCGAGTGGGAAGGAAAATGACCATATGCTGATAAGACAACGAAGGGAGTGACACTGGCACAAAGTACGTGAAGTAAAAAATGGACACAATGATATTGCAGTGGGTGTGAAAGTGTGGGTGGATGGGACACAAAAGAGAATCTATCTGGATACACAACATAAGATCTACTGCGACAGTACAAGAACGGGAGGACAGCGACAAGGTGACAAAACGAGTATGTGTGAAGATACAAGGAACTGTGCACCAAAGCAGAGTGGTATATCGGAGACCTGGGAAAAGGGTCGATAGAGTACCGCACACGTTACGGGTGGCAAAGTGAGTGACTGGTGGAAGAGAACAGACAGACTGTGCAATCATACAATATAACTCCTGGCAAAATGTGGCTGTGTCGCCTCGTATGTGTTTATGGATTGCACAAGCTGCATTGTTCCGTGCGATGCACTAGGAAGACCGTAGCGTTGAGCGCTGGACAAGGACGCGAGCTCTAATTGCTCGGTCGGGGTGCGGGGGCCGGGCGTCCTTCAAAACAAGAGCGTGCGAACGTCTGCAGGAACGCGTATGTCGGTCTCGTAGCTCCGCTGAGAGTAGTATGACACGTGAGTCCACAGACATGATACCGGGTGAGACATCCATCACGGGGGTCAGGGCAGGGGGACAGTAGAACTGCAGCCGGAGACCGGAATACTAATGTCGACGCAGTGGCTGTTCGGTTGGTTACCAGCGCTGCAATAGAGACGAGATATTGGGAGGATTATGACTATAACATAGAAATAAGGGTGCAAAACCGGAGAGTAATAGAAGGCATAAAATGGACTTGAAAGACAACATGGGTCTCGGATACATAAAAGCTATATATCTAGAAGTACATGGGTTGTGAAGTCTATGTTTTGATATGCGGGGGTATCATCGTGGATGGAAATTCTAGACATCAATAGGAGACACAAAGTATAGAAATGTGGAAGAATCGCGGGTAAAATGAAATAAAAATGTTAGATATTAAATACTATGTGACATCAATATATCTAAGTGACAGCATGTCGTTTTCTGATAGATAGTGTAGATGAACAACTGAGATAAGAAGCTGGGGTGACAACGCCACAGCACAGTGCCTAAGTTAGTGTTTGTGGGTTTTTGGAGCGAGTGACTTGATAATATTTATAATTTGCAATCAATAGAAGAGTAATATAGAGGATGGAGTAAAGTCTCATCAGTACATTGTACACATAACTGTCAGATTAATTGAAATTGTATAAGTACGTGTATACTGCACCATGAAACCTAGATGGTTAGTAGTGGGTTAGTGTGTGTGCATACATGATGTCGAAACGTGCATACACATGAAACATATATATATGTTCATTTATCAGTAGATTTATCAATTTTACTGTGCATCGCTTGGCATAACTGACGTGTGTATCAACAAACATATGCAACGTGCAGTCATTGACGCGAGTTGCATGTGTGGAGTAACACAGTGTCTTCTACGAGATACAGTACATCATTTCTCTGTGGATGGTGTAATCATGCAGTATATGAGTTAACTCGACTGCTCAAATCATCACTCATGACGCTATGTGCCTGATATGATATACAAAGTGTCAGAGTCTTCATGTGCTCGAGATTAGCGCGCAGTGCTTGTGTCTGTATATGATATCGTAGATCACTGAAGCGCCAGCTAAAGATATCAGAGGATGTAAGTAGTACTGGCCCGCTCTGCAGTGCGCTACTGTCCATGTGACTTTCTAGTGATCCGCGTATCTAACACGGTTGGGGTGATGGTAACATATTTTGTGCCTTACAAGTCAATGCCAAGTCCTCGTTCAGATAGTCTCTCCACAGTGCAACGTGCAAGGCGCATGGTACACGACGGGACCATGTCTCGTGCCAGTGCTTGACAGGATATGATGGTGGTCCACCCTACGAAAGGGGGGGGCACAGCTAGTGAAATGAACTAGCGCGGATATTACACGAACGCTGTAATAACTTGGTTGGTACACCAAGTATGTTGACAAAAAAGACGGGCGCTACGACCAAGTTATGAGTGGAATGTGTACTACGTTGATACACAATTGTATAGTCTTGTCTTGGTGTGCTGTGATGGGTCCATGAATGCGCATGACTGTTGGAACAATATTCAGAGGTACAATATCAGACCGGTGGCTGCCTCATGTTTGACAGAAGTTTCGACAAAGGCTATGAAGCATATGACACATAATATGTAAGTAGGAAACGTGAGAGATGTTGGTAGCTCAGGCAAGACGAATGGGGGGGGTCGTGACTATAATGTAACATGTATTGGAATTAAGTATAAGTGTGATATCACAGAGAGATACGACGTGGTAATCTGGTCGGAAGAAGTTGAGGGACATAACGTAAAAGTGGCGGAAAGCAGATCAAGAAGCACGAGACGCAAATAACGCGCTGGTGACAATTGATTAGGAGATCTAATGGTGAGATCACGGATTAACGAGAGCTTATCCACGTTGCATCACAACGCGCGTGATAGCAAACATGTGTACGAAAGATGATACAGATGGAATAGA